TGTTACGTGTTCTATAGGTATAAAAAGATAAAAATCATTCTTGCTCTTAGTATGAATTAAACTCAAGTTTTTTACTAAAAAACAAATAATTTAACCATTGAACTAAGCCAGTCATTTAATTAAATTTCATCACATTTTGTATTTAACTTATATAATGATATCATCACAAAATCAATATTTTTCAATGATTATAAGATTCAATTATGGAACAATTTAAATTAATCATCGAAAGCTTAGTCACTCAACCATAGGGTGAATTTTTTATTATACTGAACTTAATACTTACTTATATCGCTATTAAATTAAAATACTAATTTTTCAATTTATTTAAAAATAATTATATAATTAATATATTTTTATAAAAATTATATGAAATAATTGAAAATATTTATAACATTATAAAAATAGTTATTTACTTTTTAAAATTAAATTCAATATTTATTTGAAATATATTATTTTAAAATTATCTATTTAATTTTAAATAATTTTAAATTTAGGGTAAATTATATGTTTAATATCTAACTTTCACTTTGGTTCAGGAAAATATTATTTAAAATTAAATAGATAATTTAAAAATAATATTATTTAAATTAAATAATTAGTATAATTTCAAATAAATAAATAATATGATTTAAAAATTAAATAAATAATATTAAAAATAAATTTTTATAATAATTTGATACAAATTTTATAAATAATTATTTAATTATTTTTTATTTCCAAATAAAGTAAAAAAAGTATTCTTTAATTTAATAATAATATAAGTGAGTATTAAGTTTGATATAATAAAAATAGATTTGCATTATAGTTGAAAGACTAAGTTTTCGATCATTAATTTAAAGTGTCACATATTCGAATTTTATAATCATTAGAAAATATTGATTTTGTGATAATATTATTATATAATTTAAATACAAAATGTGGTGAAATTAACTTAAATTACTAGTTTAACTCGATGGTTGCATTTTTTAAATTACTGTTTTCTTCACCAGGATTTGCTCCTTTGGTGATCTATCTGATGGAATCCCTACAAATTTTGCATGTTTTCTTTTTTTTAAAAAGGTTGATTCCAAGTCTAATTAAGATGGTTAAGATTAAGATTATAAAACATACAGGAAATCTGCAGGGTTCATGGCAACTAATGGGGCGTAGCCGATGCTCAAAAAGTGATCCATTGCCGTCGATCCATGTCCGAAGTACAGAGGGCTTCCTTCTGATAACAGCAAGATCTTATTAAACATGTAAAATAGCCTACTCGAAGGCTGGTGAATTGTCAACGCGACTGTTCTTCCACCTTTAACAAGCTCCAACAATACTGACAGGATCCTTTGCGCCGTAGTCGAAATGAGACCGGATGTTGGCTCATCTAAGAACAACAAGCTTGGATTTATGAGCATTTCTTGGCCTATACTTACCCTTTACCGTTCACCTCCTGAAACGCATCTCGAAAATTGATCTCCGATGACGGTGTTTTTGCATTTGATTAGTCCCAGCGGATTGATAACAGCTTTGGCATTCGCGATCTTTTCTTCTAAACTGAAACTATTTGGTAATCGAAGAAGGGCGGTGAAAACGAGCTTCTCGGCCACTGCCAATCGAGGGTGCTGAACATCTTCTTGTGTAATAAAGCCGATGTTTAGCTTCACTGAATTTGAGAAAGGCTTTCCATTGTACGTTATGGTTCCACCGAGGCGACCCCCTAATGCGGTTAACAGTGTTGTTTTACCGCTGCCAGATGGACCGAGTATGGCCAACATTCCACCTGGTTGAACCATCCCTGTTATCCCGTTTAAGATTTTTCATCTGATCTCGACTTATTTTTCAGGGACTTGACTTTGTAGACAACATCTACAAACTGTAAAAACTCAACATTAATAAACATTAAAAAACTAAAATAGAAATGGAAGCAGTATGAATATATATACCTTTAAAACAACTGGGCGATTTGAACTCGCTGTAGCAGTGACTTCCAACTGATCAGCAGCCATAGTTTCGACTTATTGTTGCATACTTATTTCATTACTTTAAGGTACTAAGCTGATTGGTTACATGTAATGGTCAAGGGATTACTCGAAACAACGTAGGGAAGTGAACCCGAATAAATTATAAGAATGACTTAGAAAATGTAGGGAAGTGAACCCGAATAAATTATAAGAACGACTTAGAAGAGTTGGGTTAAGTATTAGAAAATTGTGTTTATTGATGAGCCTAATTATGAAGTCCAAATGATGAGTTTGTAAGACCAAGGGAAAGTGGGACTTAGAAAGAGTTATAAAATGTTAGAGTTAAATGAGTACAACCATGTCTTAGAAAGGAAAAAAAAGGTTGAAGATTTAATTACATGTTAGCATAATCTTTTTGTTCTTTTGAGCTAATATTTTTCATTCTACAGAAAAAAGTTAGAGAACCACCTAAGACAAAAAGAGAAGGATAAAGCTTGAAGGTTGACGAAAAGGAGCTTCCTTATAGCCATTTTGTTAAAGCTAATGGACTCTTGTTCTTTGTGTCTTCATGTGTTGTAAAGAAGTAATGACAACCTAAAATAAATACTTTTCATGAGGTTACAATTGTTGAAGAGAAATATGAGGATTTTGATAAAGTTCAAAGATTTGGAAAATCAAAATCTAGGTTCTAGTGACTCACACGAGAGTCCTGAAAGATTAGAGTGAATCACACGGAAGCACCTAATCGTAATTATATCGAGTGACTCACATAGGATTCACGAAGGATTAGAGTGACTTAGACGGGAGTCACGAAGAATTTGAGTGACCCGTAGGAAAACCCCTAATTTTATTTATTATGGGTGACTCGTATGAGAGCCTGAAAGATTAAAATGACTCGTACGAGAGCATCTAAGCATGTTTATTCTCGGGTGACTCACACGGAAGCCTCGAAGAAAATTCAAGTACCTTTCAAGGGTACTCAACCTTCCTTATTCAAAAATGTACATGAGTATTCCTGAATTTTTTTTAACAATTACCTTGTCAGTTTATATTACTTCAATTATAATTTATAAATACCTTAGGATAATTGTTCATTAATGGGCTCTTGTAGCTCTTTCTTTAAATTGTTCTCCTTCCCAGGTTCGAAGTAGTAAATTTCTTCTGTAGGAGCTTCATCCCTGTGGAATCTCAACCTTACATCACATAGCAAAGTACTTGTATCTTTTGTTGTGCAATGTATCCATGTAGACGGCGCAGAAGTGGTCATGAGAACCTTAGTTGTTTTATAAGACTTTTAAAATAATATATTTATTTTGGTCAAGTACATAATGTAATGGAGTTCAATGTTTTAAATACTAATTTTTGACAAGGTTGTGATAATTTCTTACATTTTGTTTTTATTTATTATTAAATGGTTAAATTGTTAAACAAGTGATACCAAAAGAGATATAAGAGTTAATCGGGCCCTAATCATGTGACACTGTACACTCAAAGAGGTGTTGAGTGTTATATTACAAATGAATATTTAAAACCAAGATGGATGTAAATATTGATATTTATAAGTATAAGATATGATCTGGATCTAAAAGATATATTGATAAAAGAATGAATTAATTTTGTAGAGATTTTCTCGTTGGTTTCATTCGAAGACTCTTTCAAGATTATCATTATATTTGTTGTTCATATTTGATCTAGAGTTACATAAGTTAGATTTCAAAATTGAATTTCTCGATGGTAACATTGATGAGATGATTTATATGATGCAATTAAAAAATTATGTTTGGTGATACAAAATTAATGATATGCAAATTAAGAAAATCCATTTATGAGTTTAAGTATGAATCTCGTTAGTTGTATAACAAATTTCATCAAGTGATTATCTCGTTTGTATATACTACCAGCTTAGCGGGAGTAAATTAAGTGATACACTTATTGCCAAAAGAAACAAATTTAGTCTTAATCAATTTTGTAAGAATGATTTTGAAACTAAGAAAATGCAAAAGGCTTATTATAGTTCACAAACAAATAAAGAGTTTAATGTATACTCAAGTTTGTATGCATTTAGACATATCGTATGGTTTTAAGATATTAAACAAATATTTTAAAAAAAATGAGTATGGATCGTTGGATAAAAGACAAACTGATTCATATGATACATTTAAGAACAAAAATATTACATGCTCACATACCATAGGTCTAATAAGTAAGAGATCATCAGGTATATGAACCCCGACTTATTGAAATATATATGCAAAATTTTATCACATGAAATGTTTGTAGACACCCTTTTTGTCCGGGTCTTTTTATTATTATTTTATATTAAATTATTATTATTATTATTATTATTATTATTATTATTATTATTAGTATTAGTATTATTATTATTATTATTATGTTTATTAATTATTATTATTATTACAAGGATACATTATTTTTTGCATTCCAACCCATTAACAAATTGGTTCCAGCCCAGACCCAAGGCCTAGTAACCAACCCAGCTGCTGACCCAATCCCACAGATCTAACCTGAACTAGACCCGACTAAATCCCAGCGACCCAAAGAGACCCGAACAGACCCGATTTACCCTAGGGTTTTTGAAACCCTAGTAGATGTTGTTGCCAGCCTCTGTCGTCGTCGTCATCCTCTTATGCACCAACAATGACCACAAATCAATAAGAAAATCTCGAAAATCAGGGATTTTTCTTCAACTAGTCAGAGATATTATTTCCTATACCTAGGGAATCATTTTCAAGGCAAGAAAAATCACACAAGTAGTAGAGGGTTAAAAAGGCTATTTGGGTTTTACAAGAAAAATATTCGGTGAGATCAAGAAAAAAACAGAGGCATTCGAACCGTAAACAAAAAAAGAGCATCCTCCATCTCCATTAGAACCCAAAACACCAAATAAAATAGAAAAGAGAAATAGAAAGTCGATTCTTAACTCTACTCGAAGTCGCGGAAGACGAGAGGTCATCATATTTTTGTTCTTTCGAAAGGTAATAACTTAGATCTAAGGGGTTTGGGTCACTTTTAGGGCGGGTTAAGGGCGAGAAGTAGATGATTTTGGTATGTTTGGCTCTCTCTGGCAACCGTGATAGTCGCCGTGCTCCGCTACGAACACTGCCGACGGCGACGACCGCTTCTCTCCCTGATGAGAAAGTTGGGAGAACTCTCTCCTTCTGTCTTTTCTGGTTTGGGGAAAAACTGAAAAATGGGAGGGTTGAGCCATTTTTAGCTTAAGCGAAGTATATATATATATATTATACTCAAAATGGTGTCGTATAGGAAAGGGGCTTTCTGCGCATTTTCTGGTTAGGGGATATTAGCAATATTGATCCTCGTATTCTTGTAATCTCACCTATGTGTTTTTATTTTTTGGGGAAAATTATAGTTTAAATCCCTCTATCTTTGTAATGGATGTAATTAGGTCACTTAATGAAGTTTCATTCTTTCATTTCGAGCCCCTTATTGTTTTGTGTTTCATTTTAGTCATGTATTATATCTGTTTAAATATTTAGATATCTAGCTGTTAATTTTCTTTAGTTTTCATTTTGGCCATCCATTAGTGATTTCTGTTTATTTCATTTTGGACTTAATATTTGTTTACTTTTCATTTTGATCCCTATTTGTTCATTAGTGTGTTTTGGGTAAATACTCTGTTTTGAGCTCTGATTTGTGATTTAGTTCATTTTAGTCACTGATTTTAGATGTGGTGTATTTTCTTTGATGTTTTAATTTGGCCATGTCATTTGTAGGGTTTTTATTTTAGTCATTGTTGGGCTTTTGGTTTAAGTATTGTTTGGCCCTTTATCTTTCTGTTTATCTCACTTTGGTCACTAACAATATTTATGGGTTATTTTCATCTTTAATACTTGTATTATTTAATATTTGCAATTTGAACTATGGTTTATTTTGTAATTATTGTTTAGCCTTATAAGTTTCTGTTTTTGCCATTTTAGTCCTTTAAATTCATGTTTGTACTATTTTGGTCCTTTGAGTTTATGTTTTTGCTATTTTGGTTCTTGTAATTTTAAATACTTACTTTTTGGTTATTATATTTTGGTTTGTAATATTTATTTTTATTTATTTAAATCCTTTTATGTATGTACATATTTTATATATTATATATTCATTTGTTCATTTGTATCATATGTAAGTAAATACGCTTAATTCTATTTATTGTAAATATTGTATTTCTCATGTCTCTAATCGTATTTATTTCCATTTCCTTAACTATTAATGTTATTCGAATATTTCAAGAACATATTTGTCGAACGGGCTTGGAGAGTATCACTTGACCGAAGTGGTACAATCTGATACGACGTTCGAACGAAATAAAACTTGAAATAAATTTAATTTATTTTACTGATTAAATCTCTTATGATTCAATGTGTTTTTATATGGCAATTTAATTTATGTAGAGGTTGATAGTTAATTTATATTCGATTTATTTTTTTATCAATGAAGAATGAATATTCTTTTACAAATAAGAAATAGTTAAAATAGTTTTTCCGACGGAGGATTGCGAATTTAAAGATTTCTTATCAAGTAAAAGAATTTTCTTTAAATAATCAAATCGAAGCAAATTAATCAAAGTTCAATAAATGGATCATATTTTAATTTTATATTTGATTCCTAATTTTCACCATTACGACAACGTGTAAGAGATCAAGTATCGATTTTCGGGTGATGTGGGGGTGTTTATCCCTCCCCACGCGTAATTAACTCCTGGACCCGTTAAATCCGATTTTTGGTAAACACATACCATTTTTGTCTTAAAAATGTTTTTTTCTTAAAATTGTTTTTAAAAGACGTTTTTAGGTATTCGACCTACCTAACCTAAAGGTCGATGGAGACTCCTATCCAATTTCATCCAAATTAATCCAAAATCATCAATTTTTCAAAATAAAATTCATAATCGTTTTTTAAAATAATATTTAATTATTTTTCGAAAAAAAATGATTATGACAATGTTAATTGTAGATTGAAGAAAGATCATGTGAGTTATTTTATGACAACAAAGTTATAATCCCTTGTTCCATATATAATAGAAATATCTTAAAGTGTAAGTATATAGACGATATCTTTCTACTTGTTAATATCTTTCTACTTGTTAAAGAAAATTCAGAGTAATTATGTGTTTATAGAGTATATTGGTACAATCTCATAATTGCACATTGATAAATTATTACTCAAGATCTTTTATGAGCATACTACTTATGTGGGTGTAATATCATTTAAGGATATTTAGTTATAGTTGGTGTTTTTAACTTTAAAATGTTTGTTTGTTATAAACTCAATTTCAGTTACTTCAATTTAACAATATTTTATTTTAAAGTTATTTTCTATAAAAAAAATATTTTTTTGTTTTGGTTTATCCACATTATAGTTTAGGTAAAATTTGATCTCACTAATGTTTAAAGATGATCAATTAGAAATCACGGGCGGACCTTATAGGTTGCCTGGGGTATCCCAGGCAACCCCTCAAAATTTTAACTTAGTGTTAATTTTTTCCCAGGCAACCCCTCAAAATTGTAACTTAGTGTTAATTTTTTCTATTTTTTTAATTAATATAATTGCTACCCCTAATATTACTCCAGGCAACCCCTCAAAATTGTAACTTAGTGTTAATATTTTCTATTTTTTTAATTAATACAATTGCTACCCCTAATATTATGTGTAAATGTTACTCTTTATTATAGGAAAAATTAATATCCTATTTAAAATTAAAAAAAAGATCAAGCCCAAAAAACAAACCTTAAGCCCATGAATCAAGCACCTATTTTCAGTTTTGTGGGAATTGGGATTTGGGATACGGCAATTGGCAACAGATTAGAAAGGCTATGAAAACTAAAAACCTCGATTGAAGATTAAAAGGGTAAACCGCCGACAAGGGTTGAGGGTTGTGGTATTGTGGAAACTCAACCCATCTTGGAAAGGCAAGGCTGCAAGGGCTGCCTCACTGCCTTCCTGTGCGATTGAACTTTGAAGGGGAAGCCGATTGAACTTTTAACTTTTGAAGACAGCAAGTTGAACTTTGAACTTTCTACCTTTTTCTCCAAATATACAAATGAGACAAGTATGTGTACTTTCTTTTATCTTAATTTATTCTTTACATTAATGATTTTATTATCTTTCTCACTTTGTCTTCTTTCATTCATATTTAATTTTTTCATGTTTAACAATAAAGGTAGTAAACTGTATATAATATTGCTTTGTTATTTGAAATTGATTAATTCATTAAAATTAGGTTTTTTTTTGGTTTGATGTATTAAAATTAGGATATTACAGTAAAGTAGTAATTCATAGTTTATAATTATTATATGTTGAATTTTTAATATTTTAATAATTTTATTTATTGAAATATTTAATTGTAGGGTTCTATTGGTAACTATTTTAAAAGGAAATTAGATGTTGGTGATGATGGAAGTAGTGAAGGATCTTCTAAAAGAAATAGCTCAAATGAAGTTCCACAAAGACCACAACCTACCACTGTGTCACCTACTCCCATGGCTTCCATTCCAACAACTATTAATGTGAATGATCTTCGTTCGGATCCGGCGGATAGACCAAAAATTACATCTTATCATCCAAATCAAAAAGATGAAATAAGAAGGGCATATTGGATTAAAGGACCATGTCAACCAAGGGGTCATACTTTTCCATAAAAAAAGATAGGTCCTAAGCTAAGACGCTTTATCGTTGAATGGTTTGATGAATTTGATTGGTTAGAGTATAGCATAAAGGAGGACAAAGCTTATTGTTTATGTTGCTACTTATTTGGAGATATTGTAGGACAACAAGGTGGGAGAGATGCATTTGTGACGGAAGGATTTAGCACTTGGAGTAAAAAGAAATCATTATATGCTCATGTAGGTAATGTTGATAGTTTACACAACAAAGCACGACAAAAGTGTGAAAATCTAGAGAAAAAAAATCAATCTATTAGTGATGCTCTTCATAAGCAAACTGAACATAAGAAGAGTAACTATGAAATTCGATTACGTGCTACAATTGTCACTTGTAGATTTTTGTTGGAAAATAAGTTATCGTTTCGTGGCCATGATGAGTCGAATGACTCCATTTCCAAAGGGCTTTTCATTGAAACATTATCTTTGATTAGAGAACACAATGAGAGTATTTATAATGTTACCTTAGAAAAGGCTCCGAAGAATGATAAATTGACATCTCCAAAGATTCAAAAAGATATTGTTGAATGTTTTTCAAAAGAAATAATAAAGTCCATTTGTGATGAAATTGGAAAGGATGTGTTTGCCATATTAGTTGACGAGTCTAGTGATGTATCTAAAAAGGAGCAAATGGCTATGGTTTTGAGATATGTTGATAGACTTGGAGTTGTTAAGGAGAGATTTATTGGAGTTGTTCACGTGACGGATACATCTTCTTTGACTCTTAAAGCTGCCATTGATTCTGTATTTACTGACAATAAATTAAGCATGGCTCATGTAATATGTCATATTTATTTGATTTATATTTTAATTATTTAATTGAATCTTTATTTTTATATATTAAATCTTTTATCTATTATTTGAAATAGGTAAGAGGGCAAGGTTATGATGGAGCAAGTAATATGTGTGGTGAGTTTAACGGTTTGAAAGCGTTGATCTTAAGAGATAATAAGTCAGCATATTATGTACATTGTTTTGCTCACCAACCTCAATTAGTGATTGTGGCGGTTGCAAAGAATCATGATGGTGCTCATGAATTCTTTGAGCAAGTAGCTTTGGTGGTTAATGTGGTTTGTGCTTCCTGCAAAAGAAAGGATATCATACGAGAGAGCTACAAAAAGAGATTGCAAACAGAAATTGGTATTGGTGAAACCGGAAGAGGGTTGAATCAAGAGCTTTCTCTAATTCGAGCAGGAGATACAAGATGGGGTTCCCATTATAAAACAATCATAAGTTTGATGAATTTGTTTCCTGAAGTTATTGAGGTGCTTAAATATGTTGAAGAGGATGGGATTTTATCTAACTGAAATCAAGCGTACGGTATTTTATCATATTTTAAAACACTTGATTTTGTGTTTTATTTACACTTGATGTTGGAGATTTTAGGTCTCACGGATACCTTGTCAAGACATCTTCAAAGAAAAGATCAAGATATTTTGGAAGCGGCTTCATTGGTAAGAGCAACAAAGAAATCATTGCAAACTTTAAGAAATGACGGGTTTGGTTCAATTTTAAAGAAAATATATTCTTTTTGTCAAAAACATAGCATTAAAACTTTGGATATGTCAGAATATTATGTTTGTTGAAAACATTTTGATATTTCGATATAACAAATTAAGTTAAATGAATTTTAAGATTTTCCAAAATGATTTTCTAAGTATATTCGATATAATTATTCGAATATCAAAACATTACTCAAAATATTTCAAAAATCATTTTTAATCCTTACTTAAGTGTAAAAATAAGTTTTAATCTTAAAACAATTTCAAAATAATCTTTCAAAGTATTTCGAACCATTTCAAAGCCAAAAATTCTAGATTGCTCAGAGAGAACCGATTCCCCCCAAGGGGGTACCGATTTCCCCCTGAAGGGTTTGGCTCCGAGATTTTCAGAATGCTCGGAGGGAACCGATTCCCCCATGGGGGGTACCGATTCCCCCATAGTGGGTACCGATTCCCCCTGTTTAACGGTCGAAATATTTGAATTTTACACTTAGGGAACCGATTCCCCATAGGGGGTACCGATTCCCCCCACGCTCCAAACTGTTTTATTAATTGTTTTCACACTAAAACGGCTATATGATCTTCACTAATCATCCCCAACGTTCAGAAGAGATTCAAGGTGTATTTAAACAAGTTCTGAAGCCCTTGATCAACAAGAAATCATAGAGAAACAAGAGAGAAAGCATCAAACACCAAGTTTGTGCAAATTAAGCCAATTTTCCTTTCAATATTCATTTTGCTTTCAAGAACACCATTTGTGCTCATTTGTAATTATCTTTGAGTGTTCTTTTCTTGTTCTAGAATTGTGCAAACATCTTACCTTGTGAGATTTTCTTGTAAGTTTGCAAATTTGTAATCTTCTCTTTGGGAAAAAGAGTGTTCTCAAGAGTTGGGGTATACTCTTGAGGGATTTTGTAAGGTTATCTCTTTGGCCTCAAAAGAAAGAACAAATTAGTGAATTTGTTGGAAAATCCTTAGTGTGGATAGCTAAGGTAGTGGACGTAGACTTTGTTTGAGAAAGTAGAACCACTGTAAATCGATGTCCAATTACTTTCAATTTTTCTGCAAAAGCTTCCACGAAATTTTTAATTGCTAATTCACCCCCTCTTGGCCGATTCCGTCGATCGATTAACTCAACAATTGGTATCAGAGCCTAACTCATTTGAAGGTTTAATCGCCTCTTGAGTCGATTTGGGAAGAGTTATATCGATTATTAAAGTCATCAATGGCCTCCGCTTCAAACTTCGACTCCGGTCTCGATTCGATGCCCGTCAACAAGCCTCCTTTCTTCAATGGAGCTAACTATGCATATTGGAAGAATAGAATGATGTACTTCATTCAAGCAAGTGACATGGGAGCATGGAATGCTGTAGAATAAGGATACATCAAACCTCTCACTCATCCAAGGTTGTGGAGTGAATGAGAGACAAGAATGTTCCAGCTCAACTCCAAAGCCATCCATATTATTTTTTGTGCTCTTGGACCAGATGAATATGGAAGAGTTTCATCGTGTACAACCGCCAAAGAAATATGGGACAAGCTTCAAGTCACACATGAAGGTACAGATGAGGTAAAGAAATCAAAAATTAGTATTCTAACGCATAGCTATAAAAATTTCATGATGAAACCAAATGAAGACATCAAAGCTATGACGGATAGATTTTCAACGATTGTCAATGGTCTCAAATCATATGGAGAGATCATCTCAAATGAAAAGCTTGTAAGGAAGTTAGTCTACTCCCTCCCAAAATCATGGCAATCAAAGAAGACGGCAATCATCGAGTCTAAGGACCTATCGTCCTTAACTCTTGAAGAACTTATCGGTTCACTCCTCACTCATGAGATGATGCTTGAAGATGAGGTGGACCTTGATAAAGTTGAAGAGACACCAAAGGAAAAGGAGAAGAAGAAAAATATTGGAGTTGCTCTCAAATCCACAAAAGATGAGAGTGATTCTAATAATGATGATGATGACGAGGAAATGGCATTGTTTGCCAAACGGTTCAGAAAAATGATGAGACCTTACCAAGGAAGAAAATTCAAACGAAACGAAGGTCTCAAAAATGAACCAAAAGAGAAGGACCCAATCATTTGCTATGAATGCAAAAAGCCGGGGCATGTCAAATATGATTGCCCACAATTGAAGAAAAAGGGTCAATCAAAGAATAAGCACAAGGCTCATGTGGCTACATGGAGCGATGAAGAAAGTTCCGATGAAGAGGAACAAGAAGTAGCAAACTTGTGCTTGATGGCATTCGGGGAAGATTCTAAGGTAACCTCTAACTCATCCGATTTTGATGATTTATCTTATGATGAGTTATTTGAGGAGAACAATGGGTTGGCTTCGGATTATGAGAAATTGTTTTTAAAATATAAAAATGATGTTTCAAAATTGAAAAATGAAAACAAACTCATATCCAAAACCAACAACGATCATGAAAGTAAAATCAAAGATTTGCAAATCAAACTAGAAGAGTTTGAAAAGAAAATTTTAGATTTGCAAAATTTACTTTCAAAGATCAATGATGATCATCAAAAGAAATTGATGATCTTAAAACTTCTTTTGATAAAATTGGAACAAAACATTTTGAAAAAGGTGGAAATTCAAAATCCAACTTTGTTAGAAAAAGTTTTAGAAACTACAATCATAGAGGTCCCCAAAGAACCTCTAATGGAAAAATCATTAGAAGTATGTGGGTTCCTAAAGAACTCATTACTACTAAAGATAAAAATATCCTACACAAATGGATACCTAAGGGGACTAGGATTTTGGAAACTAATGAATATGGACCCAAAAGAATTTGGGTACCAAAAATCAAAAATTAATCTATGTTTGTAGGGAAAGGAGCATTGCTACAAGGCACGGGAAACAAATTCAAATTCATGGTACCTTGATAGTGGATGCTCAAGACATATGACCGGAGACAAAAGCCGGTTCATTGAGCTTAACGCCAAAAATGGAGGAGAAGTGACTTTTGGAGACAATTCAAAAGGTCACATTGAAGGTATTGGTACAATAGGTAATACCTCTTCCATACAAATTAAGAATGTTTTATATGTGAATGGATTAAAGCATAATCTATTGAGTATTAGTCAATTATGCGATAAAGGATTCAATGTCTTATTTGAAATTAATGGTTGTAAAGTCATTGACATTGCATCTAATCAGATTATGCTTGTAGGTCATAGAATAGGAAACATTTACATGGTGCATTTAGATTCTATTGATATGACTAATTTATGCCTAGTTGCTAAGGATGAGCATGATAGTTGGTTATGGCATAGGAGACTAGGCCATGCTAGTATGAGTGTTTTGCAACGGTTAATTCAAGGAGACTTAGTAAGAGGGTTGCCTAAGCTTAAATTTGATAGTGATAAAATCTGTGATGCTTGTGCTAAAGGAAAACAAAAACGAGTTTCTTTTAAATCTATTAATGATGTATCAACTAGTAGAGTATTACAATTGATCCATTTAGATCTTTTTGGGCCAACTAGAACTACTAGCTTGGGAGGAAAACAATATGCATTTGTCTTGGTAGATGACTATTCTAGATACACTTGGGTTCTATTCTTAAGTACTAAAGATGAAGCATTAGAAAATTTCATCACATTTTCAAAAATAATCCAAAATGAAAAAGGTTACTCTATCACTAGTGTTAGAAGTGATCATGGAACTGAATTTGAAAATCTTGGATTTATTGAGTTTTGTAATTCTAATGGTATTAGCCATAATTTTTCAGCACCTAGAACCCCTCAACAAAATGGAGTTGTTGAGAGGAAAAATCAAACTTTAGAAGAAATGGCTAGAACCATGCTTTGTGAAAATAATTTGCCAAAATATTTTTGGGCGGAAGCCACAAATACCGCTTGTTATGTTGTAAATCGAGTAATGATTAGGCCAATTTAAAGAAAACTCCATATGAAATTCTCAAAAATAAAAAGCCTAACATTAGCTATTTTCATCCTTTTGGATGTAAATGTTTTGTTTTAAACAACGGTAAAGAAAACCTTGGCAAATTTGATGCTAAAAGTGATGAAGGAATTTTTCTGGGTTATTCCTTAAATTCTAAAGCTTATCGTGTATTTAATAAAAGAACTTTAGTTGTAGAAGAGTCTATACATGTTGTTTTCGATGATAATCCCCTTCCGAGGAAGGATTCTTCTGTTAATGATGATGTAGGTATTGTACAAGCAAATGACGTTAGACATGACGTTGGAGAATCATCATCAAAGGAAGAAACAAAAGATGAGGAAACTCATGATCCCCTCGAGAATCCAACCAGTGAAGAAAGGGAAGTATCTTTTCCAAGAGAGTACAACTATGTCAAGGATGGTGAAATTATAGGTGATCCATCAAAAGGGGTAACTACTCGATCTTCTCTTAGAAATATCTGTAATTATGTTGCATTTATTTCATGCATAGAGCCTAAGAACATCAAAGGAGCATTAAAAGATGAACATTGGATTATGGCTATGCAAGAAGAATTAATCAATTTGAGAGAAGTAAAGTATGGACATTAGTTGAAAGGCCTAGTAATAAATCTACTGTAGGTACTAGATGGGTTTTAGAAATAAACTTGATGAAAGTGGTAATATAGTGAGGAACAAGGCTAGACTTGTTGCTCAAGGCTATACTCAAGAAGAGGGCATAGACTATGATGAAACATACGCTCCCGTAGCTAGGATGGAAGCAATTAGAATGTTATTAGCATTTGCATGTTTCAATGAATTTAAATTATATCAAATGGATGTTAAAAGTGCATTTTTAAATGGTTTTATAAAAGAAGAAGTGTACGTGGAACAAC